TCTATGTTTTTCGAATTTCGTAAGTCGCTGACAATACCGGAACGCACCATTTATAAAGTACACATGTGAATGTCAAATAATTGTACACAGAACGTGTTGTTTGGTCATACTCGTATTATTTTGTGTTTCATTTTTTAATCAATTATTAACATCAACAGTAGATAATGGCACCTACATTACGTAGCCAAAGTAACATAAAAAAACAAATCGATAAGACGAAAGCGAATAGCGACCCTTCACGTTCACGTAAGCGAAAGTGCACAAAAATTGATGACGATGAATGTGGTTCAAATTTCAATACGCAAAAGCAATCGAAACGTATGCGGCTTGACAATTCAGCTCCTCTACTGACGAAGAAAGCTCAAATAATTCTCGAGCGGCTGTCATCCGATACATTAAAACAACACGGAATAAAGGTATAAAAGTGCTTTTTTCAAAAATGAATTTTATATCAATCTGATTGATCTAAATTGTTTAGATTACCGAGAAGGCGGGCGCAGAAGAAAACACGAAAAAAAAGACACAAAATGTCTGTTTGGAGCAGATAAAAAATACAACGAAAAATAGCTACATTTTAAGAAATAGGCCAACATCAAACACAACTGTTGTTGAATTGCGGAAACGAACGCGCATCGAAAACAAATCAGCCAAAGAAAATAGCAGTGTTGCGAACAAGACTTCGAAACCGAAACGCAAGACGCAATTGGTATTGCAAGAACGACTACAGAATGAAGTCCCATCTAAAGAATATCTCCCAAATGAGATAATTCTGGCCACAATACCTGGATATGCGCCATGGCCGGCAAGGATTATAGAAATTATTGGACAAACAATTTTGGTTGAATTTTTTGGAACAGGTCAAAAGAATTTAGTCCGCCCAAGCTCAATTCGTCATTTTGACATCAAGATTGTATTACCGTTGCTGAATAGAAAAGGTTATAAGAAAGCGATGACTGAATTAGAAGCATGCTTGGGAATACCATCATCTCTTTCAGTCATATCCTGAAAAATTCAGACACTATTCAAATAATAATTCGCTGCGAATCGAAATAAAATTAATGCGAAGACGAAAATAAAATAAACTTATTGAAACTCTGAAATAAAAAAAGTTTATTTATGGAATTTATTCAGACGAAATTCGAAAATAATAGAATGTGACATTAGTTGTCAAATTTTTAGTAAAAAAAATATATTTGTCAGTTTGACATTTCGAAACAATGCAAATGCTCGTTAAATATCATCACATTTGTTCTTTTATCTGGAAAAAATATCTACTTAATAGTTTTATGCATATGCGGTTGCGTCAACGATACGGATTCGATCAGCTACCAATTTAATAACGATATGAATGCTGAAAAGTATTTTGGCACCAGTGAATTATATAAAATTCTCGAATTAGATTCTTCGGCACCGACAAAAGATGGTGAGATAAAATAATAATAGATTGACATCAAACTCAAAATCAATGTTTTCTTGATTAAATCTTGTTAAATATTTAGTGAAGACCAATTATTATCGGCTAGCACTCATCTATCATCCCGATCGTGTTCCCGAAGCAGAAAAACCTCTTGCAAACGAAAAATTCAACATTTTACATCAAGCATATTCGATTTTGGCGAATCCCGAAACTAAAATCTTGTATGACACCGGAAAATTGCAATTTTTTTTTTCAAAACCAACCATTGTTGGAAAATGGGAACATTATGTCGCACCGCTAACGTCTTCCGCAATCGAAAGCGCACGTCAAAAATATCAAGGAAGTGTTTCTGAAGAGACTGACATTATTCGAGAATTTACCATCGGAAAAGGAAGTATGACCCATCTCTTTAATACAATTCCATTTATGCGTACTGAGGATGAAGCACGTATAATTCATGTGATCAAAGAATGTATGCAATCTGGATCAATTCCGAAAATATCAATTCGCAAAATGCGCCGATGATAAAAATGTTGTTAATTGATAACGTTGCAAATCAAGTTCACGCTGTAAATCGAATTTAAAATAAATTTTATTATTTAGAAGAAAACAAACACTTTTTTAATGTCACATTTTTAATTCGAATTATTATACACATTTTATTAGCTTAGTCTTGTAAAATTTACAGATTTCGGAATTCGGTACGCGTTCACGTCTGTGCGCTGAGTGCCTTCGCTGTTCGTCTGGGTCTCCTGGCCTTTCTTCTCGTGGCTACCAGAGGAACTGGATTGGCCGAAGCTGGTGTATCGATGATATTTAAGCGAATACCAATCATTACTATGTGCTTACACATGTGCTGTTTAAAAAATGCGGTGCAAGTGCATGTCGACTCAGTCTTCCATTTATCCAGTGAAAATTTAACAATATAAAATTGTTGAAAACCATGAACGATGAACTCGTCAAACGATGCCCATGTGGCCTTCACTAGCGATTTGTAGTATGACTCGGAAGCGTCTGTGCACTTGCTCGATGGTACGGAATAAATGACTTCCGATTTAGACGATTGCTTTGCTTTGAATGCTTTTAAATTATTCGCTGCCATCAACGTTGCTTTTTGGTATACGTCTCGCTTTATATTCGGTTCCGTTGCGATTGCACGTACACCTTGCGCAAATTCCTTTGATATGCCCGTGGTCATATCTTTAAGACACACCAAAAATTGGTTCATCGGAAGTCGTCTACGCAACGTTATCTTTCTTTTGATGACAGCATTGTGGCTTTCCTGTCCATTGTTTGTTGATGCCGTATAATCGGCGGCACCTTCAAACCAATTACAGTGCACGCCGAGCCATTCCTTTTCAAAATACGCAACAAAGTCGGGCTCGATGAGCTGCCATTTTTTACAAAATAGTGTATTCATCATGTTGAATGAAGCACGATTTGGGGCCGACTGCATCAAACGAACGTCATCAAGAATTAGTTGTTTATTATTTTTCGATGTAAATGGTCGTTTTTGACAATTTCTAATCACATGGGCATAACACATAACATCGAGTTGTGCAGACATAAAACTTTCGTAAAACGCATTGCGTATCTGATCTGCTCCATCAGCTATCAATGTTTCTGGCTCAAAATTTCGGTTGAAATGTGTTTTGATTGCCATTTTCGTACTTTCAAATACAAATTTATAATCACGCGTTCTTTCGTGTGAGCAACAAGCGTAAACAAATGGATGAAATCTTTTGGTACGATCAACTGTTCCCAAAACCATTAGCGGGAACCCGAGCCAATTCAATTTATAAGTTGCGTCTATACAAATCGTGGTCATATTCGATAACATATCGAGCAGTCGCGGAGTCGAAAACGAAAAACCAAAACTAAGTTCCTCTTTAGGAGATGATGTTTCTATGTTAAAAACGAAGCCCTCGTCGATATCAGTTGGAAACTCTTTGTGTTGGTCGCACCATTGTACCAAGTCACCCAATTTTATCATTGGCGGCGCCTCCGAGTTTCGATATTTTCGCAAAATGTATTCGATTTGTCGCTTTGTGGGATTTATTTCGTCCACAAATAAGTTACGCTTTTCTCGCGTGTAGTCGATGTGGCGGATAACATCAGTAATTTTCGTCGTACCACATTTGAATAAATCGATGATAAACTCTACCATTTCATCCGAAGTAGGCTTCACTATTCCCTCTAAAAGTTGATCGTGATCGTGCTCATTTTGATTGTTTAAGATAAGAACATTCATGTTATCGGATGGCAAGAAAAGCGTGTATCGCTTTGCACACCATATCTTTCGATCTTTCGGGATACATTTACAACGAAAGTAAAATTTCTGGCCGCATTTTAAGTCAGAGTAATCATAACATACGAAGCCTTCATTTTCGAGAAAGTCAAAGGCTTCGTCCACTCCTTTATCCTTGGATACAATTTGCCAATCGAATTTATTTCTCGTTTTCTTTGTTGTGCCAGTACTCAATACAACTTCGTCAGAATTGTTTTCGCATGCGCTTAATTCGATTTCCGTGTCGTCTTCAATATTCCCGTTATCACCATTATCTTTGTCAGTTGTTTCACTTTCAAACGAAATATCCATTAAAATGGGTTCAATCTGTTTGGTAGATTTTGTACCGTCATCTTTTCCTAACCGTTTTCGTAAAAGATCGGAATTTGTATCTTCGGTGCTATCATCATTTTGAGTGCGCTTTCTCTTTAGTTCGTTTTCCAAAACCTAAAAGTTTTATAAATAATATGTACTAAACATAATCAATCATTATACATTCCAATGGATAATATTTACCGGAATCGGTTGCGACCTCGTTGAGCCTTGCGCATCGTTATTAAATTTCGCTCTACTACGACTTATGGGAGCCATATGTGGATAGATATCGAGTTTTATTTATTGGTTGTTGGAATGAATTGGAAATGTTGGTGTTTATTTAACTTTTGAAGAAAAAAATCATTTAGTGCAGATG